TGTTTTAAGCCGTAGCTCTGATCTGGGACTTTTTTATCAGCTGCTTACTTTCTGATTATAAGGAATTTGCCAACAACTCAGCAATGGCAGCACCCTGGGGCACACGGTGAACTTCTTGGCTCAGTGCTCACCTGGGGATGAGCAGCACTTGCTGGGGTCAGTGTGCCAAGCCATTGCAGTCCCTGCCATCTTTTCATGCTTGCAAGAAGAACCATCTGCAATAGAACAATAGAAGCGCCTTTATAAACCTACAGCAGAGATAAAGGCCCTCTTGCTAATGGAAACCTTCCCAATGCATGTGCTGGGCAGTAAAGCTTCATAGCAGACCAATACTTTATCAATAACAGTAAATAGACAAGCAAGTGTCCAAACTAAGACAGATGGTGCAGGGAGAGTCGCTGAAAGATAAGGAGATACAAATGTAGTTGGAAGGGTTCAGGAATGCTGTTTAATTCCACCTGGGGTTCTATTAAAACGTGGCAGTGAGATCAAGAAGTGAAATACTTGCAAAGTTCCACGGGAAGGGCAAAACATCTTTTCAAATGCCATAAAAAATAAATAAATGGACAAAAACAAATTCTACAGAAGCAGCATCGTCACGGGGCTGCGGCGACGAGCTGTAAATCAAAACTCCTGATGGCTCTTCGCCAAGGGTTTTTCCACCCTTACAAGCAAGTCCTGTGCCTCCCTGCAAAGCAATTACATTTTTTCCTGGAGCTGGAGAATAAATCATCCCAGCGAAGCCCTGCGGTCACACCCCTGCGTTCTGCACATGCTTTTCCCCATGATTCAAACCCCATCGCTGCTCAGACAAACTCTGAGCATCACTTCCAGAGCTCTGCTGCGGAGTGGAAATGCCTTTTGCACGGAGCCCCGAGGCAGCTGGGGGAGATGCTCTGCTGGTGTTTAATCAGAAATGCAAAGAGGAGGAGCTCCATGGGCAGTGAGTCAATGCAGAACCATCAGGAGGTGGACACGGCCCTGGACAAAGCATGGCATCGTTGGTTGGTGAGGTCAGCACCACTCTGTGATGTCCTCATTCCAGATTTGCAGAGCATAAAAGGGCGTTTGGTGCTGAACCCGTTCACTTGGGGTGAAAAGGCAGAAAATCCTCACTGGTGTTGAGCAGCACCAGTTCATATTTCCCAGAGTGGGTGAAAAACCCAAAGAGTGGCTTGGGGTGAAAGCCCACCTCACAGCCATGAGGGTTAGGTGTGGCCAGGAAGGGTGAAACAGAATGCAAAAATCAAGCAGTCATTAATGAAAGCAGTATTCATTATTTTTCCAAATTTTCCTTTGGAAAAAAAAAATATATATATGTATTAATAATAAAAAACCATTTGTTTTGACAAGATTATTCATTTTCTAGGATGTGTTAATCTCTACTTTCTTTGAACCCTCCCCATGGGAACCCATCACCATTTGCACACTGCTCCAACGTCCCATTCCAGGGCAGTTGGGTTTGGGATGCAGGACCCCCATTCCCACTGATGGGTTTCCCCCTGCCACGAGACTTTCTGGGAACATCAGTCAGCATCACGGCATTCCAGGTATCCTTATCCTATACCCCATCTGACGTACATTAGGTAACAGCCTATTTGAGCGTAACCGATGGGAGAACTAATTAGATAATGGCCAATGCATATGCAAAGAGCTACGCTGACATTACAGCAAGGGAGCTGCTAATTGCAGCTGATTAATCCAATAGTAAGTGTCAGGAAAAAAAAAAAAAATACATGCAGAAGTGGCACTCAGTGCTCAGCTATTAATTCCCATGGCATGCCTCATTGCCAGGAGAGCGCAGCTGCATATAAAAGCTTTTGGCTGCGGCGCAGTCCTCAGGACTCGGACACTGCTCAGCCAGCGGTCACAGGGTGAGTTGGATTCCCTCTGCTGTCTCAGATTCCTAATTTTTGCCTAGAAACAACCCCAAAATGCAAAACTCCATGGTTTTCTTTTTCCCAGCCTGTTTATCCCCGAGGGCTTGGCCGTCTCTGCTGCACGATGCAGTACCGTAAGGGCGAAGATGACTTTGGATGCCACGACGATGCAACCTGCGGTTGCCACGACGGCCCCGTGAGCATCCCAGATCTGTCTCCATGCCACGACCGCAGCAGCCTCAGCCACGACATCGAGGGGTCCTGCCAGAGCGTGCCACAGGGCTGCCAACCCATAGAGCCCTGCCCGCCCCGCAGCTGCTGCCCATCACAGCGCAGCTGGGATTGTGGTAAACCCCGACGGCGGGTGGAGGTGAGCCCTGTGCAGCCCGTCTGCCCACCAGTGAAAATCCACCGCCGGCCACTGCAGCAGTACCGACCACCACAGCAGAGTGAGGAGCAGGGCTGCTGTAAGCCTCGCAGGAGAGTGGAGCAGTGCCCCTCTGAGGAGCCCATCACGCTGCATCCCCAACCGTTGCAGCACCGCTGTCCCTGCATCCCCTACTGCCGTCCTCCTGTCCAGCACTGCCGTCCATCAGTCCAGCACTGCCGTCCTCCTGTCCAGCACTGCTGCCCCACCGCTGTGCCCCTGCCACAGCATCCTGGCCAGCACCAGTGCAAGCAAGTGCAGATCTTGCCACCCTTCCAGTATAAGAAATGAGGAGAGGTCCCACGCCAGCACGTTGCTCCACACTGCTGCCCCCAAGCTCAGCATGGAGGTGCTCTGCGTTTTGCCCAAGCTGCTCGTGCTGCCACCTCTGCTTTCTGGCTGCTGCTCTGCACACTTTGGGGACTTCAGGGATGTGGTCCCCTGCTTTGTGATGGCATCAACACTCTAAATCCAGTTCTGGGCACAGCTGCTCGGGGAAGAGGTGGATGCCCCATCACTGGAGGTGCTCAGGGCCAGGCTGGATGGAACCTTGGGCAGCCCGACATGGAGGGAGGTGTTCTGCCCATGGCAAGGGTTTGGACCAGTTAATCCTTAAGGTCCCTCCCAACCCAAACCATGCCACAGTGCTATGAAATTCCCGGAGGTTTTCTCCACCAAAGAACTGACCTCAATCACCTCAGCCCCACTTTGCTCCTGGGTCTCCCACCTGGGGGGAAGACAAGCATCCAGGTGATGGATGAACACCAGGAGGTGCAGGCAGCTGATAACAAGTGCTCCTTCTCTCACAGCTTCAGTGCATCATGATCTCAGGGCTGTTCCAAACAAGGGATGGGGCTGGGTTGGAAAAAGGCACACGCTGTGAGGGACAGGAGCAGCGGGGACTCTTGCAAGTTGACTTTCTCCCTGTGTATTCAATAATAAAGTTGATAACAATCCACTGACCCTTGGCTCCTCCTTCTTTTACCCCCAACATTACGATGAGCAGATATTAAAAGTCATTACGATTCTCACAAGGAAATCTGCTAAATGGAAAACAGAATCTGAGTTCACACGTGAGGACCTCAGCCACAGCTACAGCTGTTTCATTGGGCTGAGCTGCAGTTGTGTGCTGCGTACTCCCCTGCATGGTAGCACCCACCAGAGGGGTGATGGATGGGCTCCCCCATGGTCTGTCACACACACCCCACCAATGAGTGACCCTAGTACCAACTGTTTGCTCCCTGTGTGCTATCATCCCATTAACCAGGCAGTAACACCACACCAGGACGCCATCCATCATGGAAATGTTAATCATGATAATTAGGCATGTGTCCCAGCACGTGAGGTGTGTCTGTGCATGCCAGGAATGCTTTCACTCAGTGCAGGAAGCACAATCCGGCTCTTCACCCACTGTTTGGTGTGCTGCTTTGCCAGCAAATCTTTCCCTGCATTCATACACAGTGTTCTTTCTTCGTATTGCTCCCAGTCACAGCCCCAGGTGTCCCTAGCAACCCCAAGGAAAAACAGGGGAGGGAAAGAAAACACATTTACTTTAGGCAGAGAACCGCCATGATTGATTTTTATCTCCAAGGAAATCCCACTTCCACCAGAACTTTAACTTCCAAAATCCCTCCCTGAGTCCATTCATTTTTCCCAACATCCTGCCATCATCACAGCTCTATGGAGCCTCTGACCAGAGCTGGGATTACCGAGGGCACTGCAGAGCCAGGAAGAAATGGAAGGGGCTCCATCCGCTGCACTCCCCATCCACAAAATCATCACCAAGCCCATCAGCATGGTTTGCTCTCAGTGACTCAGTGCTGGCTGTTCCCAATCCCTGTTTGTCCTTCAGGCACCTGGAGGTGCCCCTATGGGGAATAGAGGGAATGCCAGGACAGAAACACTGTGCGCATGAAGGCTCCTGACTCATCGGTCACCCGTCAGCCTCCACTCAGTGTCTCAGTCCTCTCAGCTGGGCAATAAGTGCGTTATTACCTGCCTCATAGAGCCCATATGAGCTTGAGCACTGCAGTTCCTTTATGGGCACTTCTCAGTAACTGTGGCATAATTAAGAGATACTTATCAAGAATCGTGAGTCAAGCAGAATGTGCCAAGTCCTGGGAACAGCATCTAAATGGAAGGGATGTTTAGTCAATAAATAATTTAATCCTCGTTCCTGCAGTGTGTTTCATTTACAGGGAGAAGATCTGTAGCCCTATAAAAGGGCTCCGTCCCTTTGTCTCTCACAGTCTGCTCCCCTGGTCTGCGTCTGCCTTCCCTCATCACTTGGGTAAGGCAGCTCAGAGCAGCTGGGATGGGTTTGAGGTGGTTGGGATGCAGGAGGTCACGCAGTGGGGACACGAGAGCCTTCCTTTGGACTGCACTTAACCAGGAGCTAAGCAGAGGGGAAGCTACTAGGGAATGTGGGTATGGGATTCTCAGCAGTTCCACTGTGTGCTGCAGTACCTTATGGCTGCTTCTGTGCTGGGAGATGAAAAAATTCTGTGCTGGGAGATGAAAAGTGCAAGGTCAGAAAGAGGGTTTGGAAGTATTGGGTGATAGCAAGAATGTCTTTTAGATCTGGTCTTGATGACGAGCAGGGCTGGGATATGCATGGGAAGCTAAACAAAAAGGGAGGATGTGGAAATGGAGACCTATCTGTGTTTTCCAGGCTTTTTCCCTGCAACTCCAACATGATTTACTCCTCCGGAAGAGAGTCCTACTTCAACCTGAACTCCACCTGGTATGACCCTGCTGGGTCCTGGCTGGACACCCGGCGCACACCGTTCCGTTACGGCTACAACAACTGCTGCTCCTCGCGGTGCGACGGCGAAGGCGTGGAGGGCATGAGAGGGCACAACTACCGGCACTACGGCTACCGGCAGCCGGTCTGCTCTGAGCGATGCCAAGGCTACACCACGGCTGAGTCGTGCCATGGAGGTGGAGGGTCCAGCTGTGCCAGGAGACCCACCTACAGCTATGGGTCAACGGGGGGATGTCAGGGCTACGGGAGGTCGGTGTGCTCTGAGAGGTGCCAGGGGTCCTCGGGTTCGTGCCATGGAGGTGGCGGATCCAGCTGTGTCAGGAGGCCCACCTACAGCTATGGGTCAACTGGAGGATGCCAAGGTTATGGGCGATCAGTGTGCTCTGAGAGGTGCCAGGGGTCCTCGGGTTCGTGCCATGGAGGTGGCGGATCCAGCTGTGTCAGGAGACCCACCTACAGCTATGGGTCAACTGGAGGATGCCAAGGCTATGGGAGGTCAGTGTGCTCCGAGCGGTGCCAGGGTTCCTCTGGAGGGGGATGCCACAGTTCGGTTCAGCAGCCGCAATGCAGTGAGCCAGTGCAGTGCATCCCACAGTGCTGCCCCACGCCAGCCCCTGTGCAGCAAGTGCCCACGGCCAAGTGCATCCCCCGCCAGCAACAGCAGCAGGTCTGCAAGGTGCCAGCCCGGAAGATAAAGTAAGGGATGCAAAGAGTGGGGATGGGTGAGAAACTTCAGTGTTGCCCTGGTGTTCCACGTGTCCTTGGAGATCTCCACTCTTCCTGTCTTGTTGCTCGTGATGTGATTTGAAGATGTAACCCACTGTCTCAGTGCGCAATGCCAAGTGTTCTTCCTTGTCTTTGTGAGTCATGCAACACTGCAATGCCCTCGTGCTGTGTTTGATTCACCTCCCTTCGTTCTTTCATGGCAGATACAGAGACAATAAAAAATACAGCTCATGGCCACCTCGTATCAATGCTTTCTACCCTTTGAATCATCTCTCTGTCTCTTTAAATTGCTTCTGTCCCTTCTTGTGGTGGGAGCTGAAGTCTGCAGCATCCCCCCTCTCACTGGCTTGGAGATTCCTGGTCAGTCCCACCTGGTGCCAAGTTTTCCTAAGGCGCTGCTTCCTGCTGAGAGGGAGCCAACAGCTTTTGTCATGGACTCGGTGCAACCCAGCAATTAAATACTAATATAGTAATACTTAAAAAAAAAACACATACCATCAGAGAGGTAAAAATGAGAAGTTTTTCTTGACACATCATTTCGTTCCCTGAGAGGGCAGCGGGTGCGGTTTGATTTACATCACCAAGCCTCCAAAATGAGCCCTGGGGAAATGACCAGGAAAGGAATCGAGGGCAAAGGCAGAGACAGAGGGGATGCTGAGGGCGATGGAGCCTTTGTCGTGGGGGAGGAATGGGAACCACCTAGCCAGGAACACGAGTCAAAGAAGACTTTGAATTACACCAGGGGTTGACAATGAGAGGGAATTGGATCTCTGTAGCAGGCCAGAAGAGCCTGAGGTCCCAGTGGGGTCAGGGTTGATGGGGTGAGGGGGAGCTCTCTGGGAGGATCCTTGTAACACTGCAGGGATCTGTTGGTGACTCACAGCTCTGTGTCTCGGGAGGCTCCAGGTGGCTCCTGGTGTGTTCCAGATGGCTTCAAGCAGCTCCCAGGAGACTCCAGGTGACTCCAGGTGGCTCCAGGTGGCTCCCAGGGGACTCTAGGTGGCTCCTCGAGGACTCCAGGTGGTTCCAGGTGGCTCCTGGAGGATTTTCAAGTGGATGCAGGTGGCTCCAGGTGGATCCTTGCACCTCACCCAACCCAGAGCCTCCATCCTCCATGGTCCCCAGCCCTGGCCTCCTGCCTGTTGCAGCTTGCAGGATGTGACACATCACAGAACCAGCTGCCCAGCAGCTGTAATGGTGGAGATTTCCCTGCAGCACGATATGGAGAGGAAAAGAAGTTCATACAGGTGCCCCTTCCTGGGCTGGAGTTTTATGTATGCATACATGGGTCTCTTAACAAACAGCCTTCCTCACTGGGCTCTTCCTCATGTGAAGGTGATGCTGGGACACCTTACAGAGCACACGGTCCCCAAACCAAGTACTGCTCCAAGGACTGCAGTCAGAGCATCCAAATCCACCTCTGTATCCCTCTGGAGCTTCTGGGAAAGGGATAAGGAGGGCTGGAGGATTGCTCCCTCCAAAGCAAAAATCAGTGAGAAATTTGGAGGTTTCCCACAGATTCTCCCAAGGTCCCACACTTGTTCTGTACTTCATTCATCACCTTCATCACCCGAACACCAATTACTGAAATACAGAAGGATCATGGCCACATATAAGCCACTCAGAAACCATGATCCAAACCCAGCTTCTGAGACTTTTACTAAGACAATTGAAATTTCTTTCATGAAAAAAGCAATAAGTGATGCATGGAAACAACCTCTAAAGAAACCAAGGGACTCAGGGAAGCCTCTCCCAAATCTCAGGTGCTGCATACATGATGCTCACCATAGGGTCAGGGCTATGGGTCTCCAACATGTGAGCATCCTCCCTGCTCCGCTCTATCGTCGAGAGAAGTGATAAACATGTTTGTCACCATCTGGGTGATCTGGGGTGTAATTAGTGCCCCGTTGTGAATACTGGTTTCACAAGAATCCTCATTCTTCTGCTGTTTGTGAAATATCTCCAGACAGCTTCCGATCTTCCGATGCTCACGGGTCTTTGCAATGTGGTGATTCAGCTCCGTGGGTCAGTGATGAATCTCCTGAGCTCCGTTTCGTTTCAGTTCAATCTGTGCTATTATTAATATCACAGTGGCCTCTAGAGTCCTGGCTGGGATCAGGCCTGGTGCTCTCTGTAGGTAGAAAGGCACTTTGCTCCCCAAGGCAGACTCCCAGATGGGCAGTGACAAGGGTCCCCATTACAGGTGGGGATGGAGGACAGAGGGAAGAGCCCAGGAACGTCACAATACATTCCTTTCCTCTTTTTAGTTCAGTTAAAAGTGGAGAAAGGGGACCAGTATCGGTACTGGGAACGTGTCCCAGCATCCCACTGCAGGAATGGGATGGATGCCTGACCCTCCTGCCTGGGTGCTCTCTGTCTCCTGTAGGACTTTCCATTCCCTCTGTTTAGGTTAAAGGCTCTCCTTCAGGTCAGAAGGACTGAGTGAACAATACCACAGCACTCCTTCTAGTGCTTCTTCACTGTTTTACTCAGAAATACATTTCTCTGATCCTACTCCCATGCCCCAGTTGAGGTCCTGTTGCCTGCATGCCCCATTCCCATCACTCCAACTGCATCCAGTGGGAGTGTGCCTCAAAGCCTCCCACCCCAAAGCCCCAAACCTCAGGGATGGGTTTTGACCCCATAGGCCTCCCCGTTCCTTTCATAACCCACCAGGGCTGGCCCTGCTGCCCCAGGGTCACTGCAGGATGTTCTCATTCACAGGACATCTCTGCACTCACCTCCCATCGTGTCCTCATACCTGCATTCCTAATTCCCTTTGCCTCCTTCGCCCACTCACAACCTACATAATTTTTTTCTTAAGCTGCTGAAACACGCTCATTTTTTCCTACACATCACCACGTAGTTCTTTGCTGATTTCAGGCCCCTTTTATTCGCTGGATTCCTCGGCAGCCCAGAGGATCCCATATCCAACATCCCACCCCATTTCCCTCATTCCTATGTGTTCACATTTCTAGCTTGGGCTCATGGCAGCTTCGTGTTAGGCGGATACTTCAGGGGAATGCAGCAAGCCCATCCAGAACCTCCCATCCCTGCACATGAACAGTAGGCGTGGAGGGCAATTAGCATTTTTATGGAGTAACACAAGGAATGGTGATCCCGAAGACAGGATATTGATCCATTCGTGACACCGTGAGTCAAAACAAGAGAGGAAAAACTCCAATTAGCGAAGCATCCGTGGTGGTGAACCATTGAATCTCCCCTGCTGGAGCTCGCCTTGTTTCCGGAGGAAAAACTCCAGCTCCCTATAAAAGACCTCATAACCATTTCTCTTCATTCTCTCATCTTCACGCCTCCTCCTGTGCTCCCACTGAACAGAGTAAGTCTGGCTCCTCACAGTGCTGTGCTTTACGTGCTCTCCAGCTTTGTTCCTATCTCAAATTCTTGGCCTTCTCTCGCACTTCTCATCTCCACTTCTCTCTCTGGATGCATTCTCTTATTCCTTGTGGCTTCCTTATCTTCTCCTGTATGGGAATAATAGAGAGAAGAGAGGTAAACTCAGAATTTACTGCTTCAAACTGCCGATGGTGAGAATCTTCCAGTCAAGCTCTAGATCCTGTCTGGCTACCACTTCTCACTCACCCCTGAGTGCTTTAACATCTACCTTCTGTCTTTGCTAAGCACTGAGGTGAAAGATTTGCTCAAGAGAGGGCATGGAGGGCGATGAGCACTGCTAATTTTAATCCATATTCCAAGAACCAGGCCTATAATAAGCATCTGTTCTTGATCCACAATCTTGCCTTTGCAAATCTCAAAGGTGATGGTCTTTCCTGCAGGTCTGCGAAGATGTGCTCCCGCCAGGACAAGGACCAGTGCCACCGACAGGAGCAGTCCTCATGCCACAGCAGTGAGGGGTGTGGAGGGGGCAGCGGGGGCTCTGGGTGCCATGGGAGCAGTGGATCCAGGTGCCATAGCAGCAGTGGTGGGTGTGGATGCCATAGGAGCAGTGGATCCGGATGCCACAGGAGCACTGGTGGGTCTGGATGCCATGGGAGCATTGGATCTGGATGCCATGGGAGCAGTGGATCCAGATGCCATGGGAGCATTGGATCTGGATGCCATGGGAGCAGTGGATCCAGATGCCATGGGAGCATTGGATCTGGATGCCATGGGAGCAGTGGATCCGGATGCCATGGGAGCAGCGTGGGATCCTGCCATGGAAAGCCTCAAGATTGCCAACAGCAAATTTATCAAGTATCCTCAAATATGAAGTGACCAGGACATCACCTGCTGTTCTGCAACAAGTTCAGGAATCGCTGCTTATCTCCCAGATCTCATAAAGCATAATTTCTCTCCCCTCCTCCCCCTCCCCCCACCCCGGCCAGTCTTGAATCTCTGATGGGTTTATCTGTGGGCATCAAAAATGCACTCATGTGTTCACGCTGGCGCGGTATTCTGTGTTCTCTCTATCCATCTTTGACAATAAACGAGCCATTGCAATTTGCAGCACTTGAGACTTTTGCATTTATGATTTTTCTTTCACATCAAGGCACCATAGGGCACCATTAGCACAAAGCTGAGGGGTAGGCACTGCCGTCCTTTCCTTTGGGGCCTCCTAATGAAATAAGGAAGAATGGACATGAAAAATGCCTTCTGGCTCACACAGCCACATCCCCTCCCGTGTCACCTTCCCACTGAGCTGTAGACCCCAAATCTCTCATTGAGACCCTATTGGCTGTGACACTCAAGCCTTTGGGACCCACTCTATGGCCACAGCACTACTCTAGGGCCATGATGGGGGTTGAAATCCCTCCTCGCAGTGCCAAACCCCTGGGCAGCCTCTCCAGAACCCCTCTGAGCAGTGCTTGGAGAACTATGGGCTGGCCCAGGGGTGTAGCGCGACACCGGCGGTACGAGATGAACTGATAAATTCGTTCTCAACAGGTAATTAAACCAAATTGTGTAATTTATTGGTCTGCTATTGGCGTTTGTGACATAAATGGTTGTTGCCCT